AATATTTTGAAAAAATCATTAAAACTGGTTAATGAGCACAACAAAATTATACAAAAGCGACTCGAATAGGAACAATAATCGACAAATTGGTCATCCAAAGTTGGCTTACTTGTTAAAGGGGTAGGAGCTAAAAAAACAAGCAGCAGCTCTATCAAAAACTCAAGAGCAATGTCTCTATGTTGGTTCAAGCAGCAAGCATAAAGGCCTTGCCCTTCCCATCGATTTTTAAATCCTCTTATTATGTGAAATTGAAGGCCCATATTCAACTTTTAAGGATTTCGAAGATGAATTAAGAAAAAACTAAGAAAATTTCTATCAATATTAACTATTGTTCCTTTAGCTCCTGAATTTCATAAAAATGAAGTTTTTCCAAAAGTAAAACTCTATTTTTATGTATAAAGGAGTATTATAGTCAATAAATATTAATAAAAATATTCCAATTTTTAATATTATAAATGAGGGCGGTAACACGCCTACTTTTTCCAAAAATGTTTCTAGGGGTGTACATAGCATAAATCAAAAAACCGCATCGAAAAATCTTGCTTAGTTTAAAAGTTATTAATTAATACCCGAAAAATTGGAATTTTCCCCATAGTGCATGGGTATCTGCAGTCACGCCAGAGCGGGAAGTGTTAAGCTAAAATTAAATTATTGATTCAATCAACTAAACATCGAATATTTGGGGCTCTATTTGATGGCTTAGTCATTCAAGATTTATATGGTTTTATAACTGGTTCACTGGCATTTAAATTCTTTGCTACATTTTTTTCCACATTCCTTTGACTTTCCCACACCTTGAATTGAACAGAAATTCGTCTTCCTTTTGCAGTTTCCAAGTGCAATCAGCTTTTGACCTGGGCTTGTTCCGCCGCCTCCTGTGCAAGCCTTATCGATGCCAACGAGCAAATAAAAAAACCAAATTCCCCGAGTATTGGTTCGCCTAATTTTGAACGTCAATGTCCTCGACACAGTTTTCGGATAGGAATGGAATAGGAGTAGAGTGCTCGCTGCCTGGCGACAATTCATTTGACAGTCACGAAATCAATTGGAAAAGTGAACAAGCAGAAAGTGAGAGGCGAAATCAAGCTGCATAAATTATCGGGAAATCAGAGGGGAGAATTGAAACAATGAAGTGAACGAGGACTGAAGCTGTCAATTTGGCAGGACTACAAATGCAGTTCCAGTACGGCCTCGCCGGCAAGTCTTTGCTCTCCATAAAATTTGTCGCCTTTTGTTGCCGTTTTCTTAACAAGGAAATGCAACCAAAATCTGGCTGCTCGTGTAGTCTGAGGAAAGGAGTCCTGCAGATGGTTCGAGTCGGAGACATCCCTGCCTCGGTGCGGGGTTTGCCGTATATGTATAAGGGTGCAGGGAAAAGCCTTTTCCTTTTTTCGTTTCGTTTCTTTTTTTTCCCTTTTTGCTGCCTTTCGTAGTCTCCGCTCTAAATTGCACTTTATTTGCGGTTTGTTGATTTTATTGCACAACTTTGTTTGCGATTCTGCTTAAATTTCATTACCCGATCCCAACCGAAACGAACTGGGCCACGGGCCAACGGGGGGTTCAGTGGATTCGGGGGGTTCAGGGGGTTTGGGGGTTCAGGATGTTGGATTGAAAATGAATGCCAAAACCTTGATATGAATTAATATTTGAGCAGGGCTGCCAAGTGGAGCAGACATCCAATGGCCATCCAATGGGGGGAGAGAACGAGAAAGAGTGAACGAGTTGTGGGCATGGAATGGACATTGGTTAAATGGGTCAATACAACGCGATTGATGGTACAAATATTAAATGACAGCTTTAAGTGGGGAAACTTAAGCAGGTGCCAGAAGACCCAGAGCCCCTAAGAACGAGCCCCAGCTCAAAGCAGAGTTCGCTGAACCCTCCCGACGCGTCGTATGCTTGATATTTCCATTCTGTGATCCCTCTCGAAGGACTGACACACTCTCCACCGAAGCCAAGCCAAAGCCAAGGCAAAGGTTAACACAACTCAAAATCAACTATAAACCCTGGGAAAACAGAACTGAAACACGAAACATGAAAAATCAAAACAAATAAGCAAACAGGCAGACAAACAAAGTGCCAGGAAAATTAAATAAAATCCGCACAAACAAAGAGCTGTGGTCGGGCAGGAGCGAGAGGCAGAGAGAGAGAGAGAGAGAGCCAACGGGGGGCGGCGGAATCATCTGAAAAGCTTCGCACGAAACAGCACAGAGAGATACAAAGATACTGGAGCAGGCCACTTAGATTGCGGCTGGCACAGCCACAACAAATGTGTATCTTTGTGTGAGAGAGTATCTGTGTGTGGGCTTTGTGTTTGTGATAAAAATAAAGCAATTGACGGAGCACGCGACAAAGGCCAACAGCAAAAAGATACAGAAACAACAATGGGCTGCTGCCAGAGAGGAGAGATGGTGCAAGGATGAGGCAGGGAAAGGCGGAAAAGTGGGGGAAAATGGGAGTGGAGTGGGAAAATTAATTACCCTTCCTTTTGGCTTCAGTTTTGTTTTGTTTACCATTTTCATTTAATTACCGCCAGCGCACTAATCTGAATGCTTTAATTTAATGTATGTTATAGATTTTAATTTGTGCAGTTTACGAGAATAATTGTTATAATCGCTTTGACTGCACTGGGAAAAGTTTATATGAGTCTAAAGTGGGCACAATTAGGTGATTTTATCCGGTGTAAATGCTCAAACATATTGTGGAATAGCAAATATTGAAGACATGGAAAATATTTCAACAGTTCAGAGCCATCTCATTCTACTTCTTGTACTCGGTATAATAATAATTACGTATATTATTAATCAATCGAGTGCATTTTGAGCATCTGTTTGTTTACAACATCATTGGAAAAGTATGTTACAAAAAGAGTCCAGCGACAAACTCCTTTTTTCAGCGCTGGAAAGTATGCAGCAAAAAGGCGACAACCATTTTGCGTATACGCAATCAAGGAAAATCTATGGGCTATGCTGGATAATCAAAAATGTTAATTCAGCAGCCCAAAAAACAATCGGTCTGCTGTTTGGACAAAAGATCCATGCCTGGATGGATGTGAATGGCGTTTGGCATGTCTCGGCAGCCTCGACCTGTCTGCACCTCGCTGCGTGCCAGGCGCGAATGCCTCGATAGTCGGCCAGCCTGCCTGCTGATAATGTAGCAGCCTTCATTCATGGATACCAAACGAGGGAAAAACAAAAAGGAATACCAAGCAAAAAAAAAAGCCGAGCAGGAGCTGCCACTACTTTGTCGTTCGTGCAGCTGCGCGTCGGGTGCGCGAGGTAGAGAGGTTTGGAAGCCACTGGAAGGACAAACAGGGATAACTGCAATGGAAGGCAGGTATTCTGGCACGCCAGAGTAATTTGAGAGTTAGTTAAAAGCTCGAGAAGAGAGAGTGCTAAGAGAAAGCTGCCTACAAGTGTCCCGAACCAAAGAGAAAAACTGACAGGACTCTATGCAGCATCTCTCTCTCTGAGACTTCCTTTGTATCGCACTCTCCATCTGTGAATTTCTCGCTCTGAGGGCGCCCTGTAGTTTTGCGTTTGTAAAAGCCATTTTTCATTCATGCGAATTTACTTTAAATTAATTTTTTTGTGGGGTCATAAATCATTTTTGGCGCTGGACCCTACGCATGCTGGGTCTCTATGCGTGAGAGAGCGTTGACGTGCCTGTGTGCGAGCTGGTACTAGTATGCGTGCAAGCTCGCTTAGCCTGTATTCGAGGTGAGTGCATGAATGAATGTGTTTCGTGTACTTTGAATACTTTCAAATTAGTTTCGATTGCATTGGGGGATCGCGTTTCCAGTACAGCAGGTCAAGTAATGCAGGTTACAGCGGCACGAGAAAACTGTTCAGTTTTTCGAGGCATGCTTAGAAGTGGCTCTCACTAAATACAGGGTTGAGGGTTTGGTTTTTATTGGGCAATTAATATTTCCGTTCAATGTTTTTATTTTTACCAGCGGCATGTCTTTATATACATACCAATATTCGAGCATAGAATTTGACTGATGAATGGCGCTCTTAACTCCTAAGGGGTTATGCACTTTATTCAATAGGTCGTGTTGTTATGCCTGTATCAATATTTTGTACTATCCTTTATCTATCTCAAGCGAATAACCCATTTCTCATGGAAAGTATCTACCATCGGGGGGTGACCACACACAACTACAAACGCAATGCGAATCGACAGGAGCACGTCTCTATCGCCAGCACCTACCCCCACCCGCACCCTCTCAATGAGCATCTCTCTAGGTTAACTAACACCACGAAAGCTCGGCTCAGCCTTCAGAGAGAGGTTGGGGGAGTTAAAGAGAAAAAGTTAGAGAGAGAGAGAGAGCGACTATTTGCGCATCTCCAGCACTCTCTTACAGCCTCCACAAGGTAAGCGACAGGACAGAGCTTTGAGGGAAGAGCTTTCAAGCTTCTTCCAGGCACAGGAGTCACGAGTCCTGACGACTCGCTAGGACTCGTGGATGGTCACATCTTCCAGCCATGGCTCTGGCAAAATCGTCCCACCCACCCCCCACCACCATTCGATTCGCTGAGCCCCGAGCAAGAGCTGGAGCTGGAGCTGGAGCCACAGCCACAGCAATCGCTCGTTTTCTGCACAAGGATGTTTCGTTGGATGCTCGGGCAGGGCTCGCTGGCAGTCGTCGCCTCTGCAGTCACTTCCAGGGTTGCCTGGCTGGCACTGTTGGACGAGCATCGGATTCAGTTGGTGTTCCGGTTTCGGGTTGTGCTGTCAGTTGCCTTTTTCTCCGTGCACAGCCACTGAGAGATTGAGTTCCATCAGCGGAGTGTCGCGTCGCGTCGCGTTGGTCGTGGTCTGTGTCCCGTGCCTGTGCCTCTGCCTCTGCCGTGTCCCGTGCATCTGTGTGTGCTCTTTGTGCGTGTGCGTGTGCGTGAGTGCGTGCGAGTGTGTTTGTGTTTGTGTGTGCGTGTGCCTGTTGTCTGTCGCTAACGGTGCGCGCGCGTGTATCTGTGTGAATGTGTGCGTGCGTGCGTGTACGTGTACGTGTACTGTGCACTACAATGCCATATACATATTTACTAATACATGCCTACCACACACATACAGACATGGGAATAAATTAGAAAACGTTGCTCGAATACTCGTGTGTACCACCAGACCATCAGACCATCAGACCACCAGACCATCAGGTAAAACAACCGAACTATTCATGAATATATATGTATATATATGATATATACCATCGTTAACACGCGTGTATGTGTGTGTGTGTGTGTGTGTATGCTAGAGATGGAACTGCGTGAGTGAGCTCGTGTGGGGGGTGTGTGTGTGTGGTGCGCCTTCCAAGAGGAGGAAATTGATATTCTTATTTCTTCTTGTGCAAAATATGTACTCCCTCCCCTTCACCATCTCCATCTCCATCTCCATCTCCACCTCTGTCTTCCCACTTTCCTCATGTGTGTGTGGGGGTTCTTTTTTTGTGAAAATTCCATCAGCATCAACATCGAATCATCATCATTATCATCATCGTTATCATACTCAGCATCAGCTACAGCATCAGGATGATTGTCCCCGTCGCAACATTGTTGTACACACACACACAAACATTTTCCCACTTCACATCACATCCTTCCTTCATCTATTTTTTATTTTTATTTTTCCCTATCTTCCATTTTGATTTTTATTATTTCGATTCGATTTGATGGCCCCGCAAATGTTTTGCCAAATTTCTAATTGACCATCAAGGCAATGCTGTTTCAAAATGGAAAGTATCTTGCGGATACATGTCAAGTGCAACTCTCTCGCTCTCTCTCCCTCTCTTCCTTTTGTTCGCTCTTTCGCTCTTTGTGAAGGTGTATGCGGTGTGTGTGTGTGTGTGTATAACAGGTGCCAAAAAATAAATGGCAATGGTTACTTTTATGCTCATATTGTGTGTGGGAGGATGGAGGGACTAAAACCGAAAGATATTCTGGGGTATTGTCAACAAGTGAGAAACCCGTGATGATTGCCTGCTGAATAATTTGTGGTTTGTGAAATTAACTAAATTCCATTTCGTTTCCTTTCCTTTCTCTTCCGCCTTGCAGCCACGAGCTATGGATGACAGAACTAAAACAAAAACAGAAAAACTATATAAATGAAAAATATACACATAATTTAAGGCTAAGCAATATTTATTCTGATTGAGTGAGAGGAATTACAAAAATCCAACAGTGCGCGAAAATAACCGAAAATCGAAAACTGCGTGAAAAATCTTTTATCGTAAGACACTAAAAACCCCCAAACAAATATTACTAAAGCAATGAAAAAAGGCTTAAAATATAAACTAAAACAAAACAAAAACTGCACAAAAGAAACTATAAGCATTAAACAATAATGATGACGAGGAAAGATATTTTAAATATATTGTATATACTGTAAAATATATTCGAACGATATAAGTATAAAAAGTATACACACAAGTGTACTCCAGGAGGCGACAAAACGATTTTAATATCATTTGTAATACTCAGCAACAACCGAAAGAAATCACTTTGAATACAAATTTTCTATCATATAGAAAACCCACTTAACGGAAATTGTTATAAAAGCGCAGCGAATGCCGCTCAAATTTTCAATAAGCTGACAAAACACGCACAAGATTGATATAATAAATACCAAAGAAAATACAAAAATCTATTGTGGAAATTTGTCCACACTGAATTTAATTGAATCATTCGATCCACTCGATACATAGTCGTACATATGCATATTCCGATAATCGCATCTAACTAAGTAATAATCATTATTGAGCTCAAATTACTGGCATTACATTCATGAAATCTCAAGAAGTCGCGGAAGACTAATTTGATAAAGTATTTGAAAAAGAGAAATAAACCAAGTTTAATGAATAAAACAATAAATGGAGCATTTCTAATAACAATTATTCACCTAGATCAACTAACTATTTATATACCAATTGGATCGCCCAACTTTATTGATTGCAAAATCAAAGAGGAAGACAGAAAAGGTGAGTGCGAAGTATACTTGTATGTCTAATTATATTCATTAGAAACACAACAGCGAAAAATAAATAATTGGTTCCAAATATTCCCAATAATTAAATTTATTCAGAGATTCATTCATTTATTTTGTTTCGAATTCACTCCCAAATCGTCAGAAAATATATTGCAATAGAATGGTTAAACAGGGCTTTTTCAGTGATTAAAAATATATCTATTACGAAAAATATTGTAAAGACTTTTAAAACTAAGTTTTCAAATGTGAAGCTCCTAAAACACTTTTTTGTATTTCTTGCAGTTTTTTTCTGGTAGATACATTTTCATACATTTTTGCGAACGAAGAGTATAACGAAAATGTAGTTTGTGAAAACAAAGCCTGATCCACGCCCTAAAAATTCATCACCATCGAAAGCTGCAATAAGCAGCTCTCTCACAGAGCAACGGCCATAACCACAGGCATAATTTAGGTATTTTATCCTACTCTGGCTCTGGTTGGCTCCCCTCCGACGAGCTCCGGATACCCTTGAGGTTGCAATGCCTGTCCCCGTGTACGCATTCGGGCTTGATTTGCTTTTTGGTTTATTTCTCGGGCAAGCATTTTAAAATTGTTCCATTGACCTTTGAAGACCACACAGACACATTCAAATACACAGCTGGCACAGTTGGTGGGTGGTTGGGTTGTTGGGTGGTGCTGAGTGGGTGGTCCGAGAGAAAACAGAGAGAGAGAGAGGGGGGGGGGGGGCGGTGGCGGTGGCAGTGGCTGCCACTCCGAGGACAATGAAAAGCAGCGAACAATTGCCAAATAAATAACTTGACGCACGCTCCGTCTGTCCGTTTGTTTGCTCTGGTGCCGTGGTTTTTGGGCTTTTGCTTGATTTTCATTTTCATTCTCTGTCTCATTTTCATTTCGCATAGCACACACACACACACACAAACACACGCATATGGACACATTTGCTATCATGTTGCATATTAAAAGTGCTCCGGCTTCCTGTTTTTGTTTCCATCTTCCACAGCCGCTGCTCATTTTGGCCAGCCGCCTACCGCTACCCTGCACTTGGCTCTTTTTCATTAATAACATGACACAATTCGTGCTGCATTGTCCCAAGCCGACTGCGCCTGAGAGCACTTTTGGCTTTGCCGCCTTCTTATGCTCATTATGCTCATTTGAGGCTTTGTCTTTTGCCCAGACCCAGACCCACCATCCAGGCTGCCGTTCGTGCTTGTTCGTGCTGACTCTGGCCCAGGCAGCTTCTTTAGCCATTTCTTTTCATCATTCATTCATCCAGACTCCGCCATTCCGGCACACCCACACGCTAGGTGTGTGGGGCGGGGCGTACACTCATAGCACACCAACACTCATCAGAAAATTCAAATGCAAACAGCCAGGCAGAGGGAAGACAGCAGAAACAAAAGTGCAACTGTGAGTGTGTCTATAGCCATGTCCCTACATAGTATACCCTTGAAAGCTCGTTGTGGCATAGGAAGTGCGTAGGGTTGTTTGTCCAGGCAGAACAGAAGTGATGAATGATCTTTTTTGGAGAGTTTTAAATCTTTAAAATTTCAGTTTTCGTTTAGAAAAATCCGCAAGATACATACAAAATACGAAAAATAATTTGAGGGATTGGATGTATGGAACTACATCTAGCAGCAAATATTTTGTGCATCAATTTATTTCCTTGAGGAAGTCACATAGGAAAATATTTATAATAATAGTTAAACAGATAATAAGCCCTTAAATTTATAAGCTATCACATTTAGTTCGATGCCATTAATTCCATTCAGTAAGAGCATCTCAAACAGTAATGTCTGTCCCGTTGTTGTTACTGTTGCCTTCGCTTTGGCCGACGATGTCCTTAATTATGTGCCAGCAGCCCTGACTGACTGCCACAGTGCCACACTGCCACACTGACTGCTGAAAGGACACTCACACACACACACTGACAAAGTCTGCCACACGTTGGCATAGGCGTTGTCAGGCTCGGCACTCGCGGCTGTTCGGCTCGTGGCGGACTCGCGGCTGAGGACGATGTGTCGTGCTGGTCCTGGGTCCTGTCGCGCCGCGCCGCGTCTCGCGTTGCAGAGTCCTTGTTGCGCTTGTTTTATCGCTCTTGTTGGGCCGTTGTTGATGAGTGTCGCCGCTGCTGTTGCTGCTGTTGTTGCTGCTGTTGTTGTTGGTCCTCTCTGAAGTGCGCTCTTGTGGAGGGTGTCATGTCCGCTTAGTTGTTGCCGCTCTGCCGTGCCCCTCTGCTGCTTGCCGCTGTACTTTGAGGCGACACCGCCGACGCCGACGCCGTCGCCGCTTGCTTACTGCTTATTTATGTATGAAGGACCTTAAACTTTCCAGCAAATGAAAATGGCCGTAGCCCACCTGAAGAGACATCAGTGATGCGTGGGGGTGGCACACGAAAAAACCCGAGTATATCTACAACAAATGGCGTAGCTGCTTTTTAATCACAGCCGGCGACGCAGTTTTCAGCTTTCAGTTTTCAGCATTCAGCGTTCAGTTTCGCTTTTCCATTTGCAAAGTTTCTCACGTGTGTCCTCCCGCCCTACCCCTCCTCCACAACATCCTTGTAGTCCGACACACAAAGGATGACACACAATGCTCACTTTTTGTTGTTGTTGCTGGGCCTTTCCCTCAGCTGGCTGCGTTTCTTCTATTAACCTTCACTTCGCGAATGAAAAATGAATTTAAGGTTAACGGTTCTCAGAGCTATTTTCTTTTTTTGTTTAGGCCACTTAATTTAAGTCGAAACTAGGCCAGGGCAGAGGGGCTTCTGGTAAATATATGTACATAGGCGTGCATAGTGGCCGCAGCGGAAAGGTTAGCTCCGCTGACGGAAAGTCAAGAATTTTCTGCTAACGAAAATTGAACAAAGCAAGGGAATGTCGTTCAGATGCTTATTAAAAGTTTAGGGATAAATATGGAAGGGTATTAAGTGAAGTACCTGGAAATAAATAGGAATAGCATTGCTTAATTCCTTCAGACTTGAATATAAATTAAATTAAATTGAAAACATCATTGACCCTGACTTTGCAACAAACAAATAATCTTAACATTACTTTTCAAGGAATTTAAAATTTTTGAGCTACTTAAAAAGTTCTTTAACTAGGAAAACAATATACTGTGTGAATGGAGAAAAAACAAAACATCTAGAACGAAAATAATGAAAGTAATGATAGATGATGGAGATTTCGATAAAAAATATTATCTGTTACTAAACTATTATAATCAGGCAGGATCCGGTTTTCAATTTCACAAGAAATGTGTGATATACTTTTAAAAACAAAATTTAAGGCGCTCCCGCATTTGCAAACGGCAACATATTCTCGCCGAAATGAAAAGTGAACGGCCAGTGAAATTGAGCTTATGCTCTTTTTTATAAATAATTTTTAACTAAACCCATCTCAAAATTGGATCTGAAAAAATTGGTATCTGTTAAATATAACAGAGACCTTTTTGTATAAGCTGGAAATAACGCAGTAAATTTTGCGCTCAACAGTACAGGGAGTAAATAAATCGACTTTTGCGGATTCCAGAGCGCCTTTAAATAGAAAGTATGTCTATTTGCTGAAAAGTAGAACGCAAAGTGAATATAAAAACCGGAGCCTGCCTGAATATGTAATTTTTGAGACCGGATTTGTATTAAGCAAAGAGATTTTCTTTGTGGCTTGGGCATTGAAGAAAATATTTTGCTTTATACTCATATTTATATTTATATTTATTCTTGTGTAAACTTTGAATCTCAACAAATAGTTCATTTTTAAATTATGAAAAACGTCTCTTTGTAGATTGATTACCTAAGGAGCTGAAACATTGATCTCTAAATCGATTTGAAAGTCAAACGTCATCAAACGCATACATAATCATATTTAGAGTTGTCATACTGTGTCTAATAAAACCACGGGACTGATGTACATGGTAGGGTAAACGGAGTCTCGAAGATGCTGTGCACAAGCAGACCTGGCTCCGACGCCATAATTTAGGCAATTTTAGTGCTCATTCGAGGATTTGTCTGCTAATCTATAATTAAAATTATTGTCATATCATTTGGGAACTGAAAACTTTTGTGTGGCCGAAAGTTTGGCTGCACAAGCCGAGGTGAGCGTGAGAGAGAGAGAGAGAAAAGGCTAAGCCATGAAATACCTTAACATGCTGCCAGTTAAACTGTCCATGACCAAGTTCTCTACCTCTGGCACTGCCTCTGCCACCGACTTCCATCCAATCAAATCCCATTCCAAGGCGAAGCAGTAGCGGCTACGTGCCTGTGCATTTGAGCAGCAGATGTCACATGGCCAGGCCCAAACTTTTTGGCCGACAGCAACTTAGATAATTTAACAGAGTGGAGGGGAGCCGAGTAAGGTGCAAAGGACTTCCTTTGCCGACTTTTCGGGTCTCTCTACGTGAGATAATGCAAATTTATAGCTGGCAATTAGCGGGTCGCGAATCGCAACCTCAGCCGAGGCAATAACTTAGGCAAAATAACTTTGACTGGTCCCCGAACCTAATTGCAGTTGCCAACGTGAGAAATCTCGGGCAGAGCGCTGCCAGCGGGTGAATTTTCCGACTGAGGAGGAGCCCTGCACGGACTGATGTGACAAACCAAAATCCAGTTAGCGTAAAATCCCTCTAAACCATTAATTATCTTGGGAGGCGCTGCGCATATGTGAGCTGTGGGCTGCCAAATAGACACAGAGGCAAGCAAAGGGTGCCTGCAGATACAGATACAAAGGCAGATACGGGTTGCTTCTGACTGTCACTGGCACATGCCGAGCAGCGACGAGTTTGGTTTGCCGTTTATCTGTTATCCAACAGTTACACTTTTCACACACCAACAAACACCCACAAAAGATGCTCGTCGTGCCGTATCTGTATCTGGGAGATACACACACACACACCCCCACACACACACAACAAACCACACAAACATAGTCGCTGGGAGAGCGAGAACAAGGCATCAGTTGCAATCTGACTTCAATTCAATTATTTTAGATTAGAATGTGACTGTGTCACACACACTTTTGTCTCTCTGTCAGCTGTCATTCATCCGTTCATATGTTCCATAAAGGGAGGCGAGGCGCAGTCCGCCCGGCAGACAGAACGGGAGCCCGGAGCGGGTGGGAGGGGTCTCCAGTGGGCCAGGATACGTGCCCTATACGACGCCTGTTCTTGCATTGACAGTTGCGTACTCCACATGTGTGTGGGTGTGTGCCTTTTGGGTTCACAGCGAGTGTGTGTTCCTCAAAACATTGTCCCAGGGATCCTGACTTGAAACGAGCGTGACAAAAGTTACAAATGCTACAGGCCCAATGACGTCAGACCTGCTGTGGCTAGAAAATACTCAAGTCGCCTAAAAAGGGAGCATATAAAAGCCAAGACAATTGATTTGTTCGAGGGAGAGTCTGGCAATTATTGACCTTCAAAATGTTTTGGGAATATTTTTACATTAAAATGTGTTTCCTAATTTCAATGTATAAATACCAAAATCAACAATTGTTCAGTATACCATCTTGGACCAACCTAAACTAACCAATCCATTTTATATCCTCCTGTACTGTTGTACTTATCGAGCATAAAAACCCATATTTATTACCCAAAGGCGACTATGCATCCCTTATTAGCATAGTGGCTGTCAAGAGTTGCTGTCTGCCCAAAAGGAGGACCTACGTTCTATCCCGTTCCCAGAGATTCACTGCCTTGATTCCCAAAGTTAAAAGGTTACACCTAAGAGGTTACGGTTACCCAAGAGCAGGTACATGGGCGCAGAATCAGGTAGAAAACCAGACGACCCGATAATAAAACTAATATGAAAAGCGAGAAAAGAAAACTGGTTTGGGTTTGGAAAATATTTTCTGGCCTTCCACGAGAGCGAAAGCGAAAATATTCTTCTGAGTTAGAAAATACTCGAAGATTGCGATAAAATGTGCTGAGTTTGAGACTGGAGGTTAGCTAGGAAGGAAATCACATCGCACTTACAATAGTTCCGCTCTATCTGAGTCATGTCGGAACGAGCTGCGCTCCTCAATGAACAACAAATGTATCTTAATGTGATTGCCACCTTATCAGTGTCAGTATGCGGGCGACTTATTAAGCGGGCATTATGATACGAGTGGAGACATAAAAGAGGAATACTGAAAGAGCTATATATGTATGTCTGTAGCTACGAGTTTGAGAGAGTGAGAAGCATCAGAGCCCATTGTCTGGCAGTCGGGGGTGACCTTTGGCAGTGCCTGCGATATGCAGCAACCCTCCGAGATTGCCAGAACGAACTTATCTATAGCTATGGCTGCGGATGTTGTTGTGTCCCTCTGCCTGCGTCTGGCTGCCTGCTCTCCCTCCGGCCAGCCCGGCTTAGGTCTCAAGCGATCGGCCATTGTCAGGCCAATTTAGTTCTGAGCCGAACGTCGACGCGCTCAGACAAGTTTCCTGAATACTCGCAATGAAGATCATCTGGGGCCTCGTACTGCTGCTGAGTCCCGTGCTGGGCACCTCTCTGCGGGAGAACTACTGCGAGCGGAATGTGACCGTGCGGTCCGTGCAGCCCGTAACCAAGCAGCGGACCATTGTTAAGCCACCGTCCAAGTGGAAGTTCTGGAAGAAGCCCGAGAAGAAGACCGAGTTCTACAACGCCGAGGAGGAGCAGGTCACCTACAAGCTGGTCAGCGAGTGCTGCCAGGGATTCGTCCAGGTGGAGTCTGGTCTCTGCGAACCCGTCTGCGATCGGGGCTGTCCCGCCCATGCCAGTTGTGTGGCGCCGCAACGGTGTCAGTGCATCAGCGGTTACATCTCCGCCCTGAACCACCAGGACGGCACCCACTACTGCGAGCCCATCTGCGAGAGGGGCTGCGCCAGTGGCTCCCAGTGCGTGTCGCCCAACACTTGTGCCTGTCGCGAGGGCTACAAGCACTTGGCCCCCTCCGGCGACGGTGTCAGTGGCGACTGCGTGCCCACCTGCCAGCTGGGTGACGGCTGTGCCAACGGAAAGTGCATCGACGTGGAGCGCTGCTCCTGCAATCCGGGGTATCTGTGGGACAAGGAGGAGGACAGATGCGCGGAGGTCAGTGCCGAGTCGATCGCCGATGAGCTGGACACAACGGAATACAGTACAATGGAGGCAGCCATTGCCACCGAGACTGGCGCCACCGACTGCGCCGAGGACTTTATACTCTTCCGCGGCGAGTGCCGGGAGAAACAGTTCAACAGCAACGAGGCGGGCTGTCTCCAGGGCGGCTGTGGTCCCCACCAGACCTGCAGCGAGTCGGGCCTCTGCCAGTGTGCGGACGGCTACCTTCAGGAGGAGAGCGCCGATCAGAACGCCACTCTCAGCTGTCGTCGCACCCTGCTCGACCAGATACTCAGCCTCGACGCAGCTACCGATGACGAGGACGAGCTGAATCCCTGGACCATTCCCATCATTGGTGTGGCCAGCGGCGCGCTCTTCGTGCTGCTTCTGGTGGGTCTGCTCGGCGGAATGCGCCATCGCCAGAGACGAACTGCGCCCAAGCCCAAGGAGGGGGAGCTCCAGTGTCAGTTCTCGCAGAAGAGCTACGACGTGGACGAGTTGGTGCCATGAGGGGAATGTGGTCAGTGGGGTCTCATGAGTTCGGCTGTGTTAGATCATCTTTGATTTGTATATTATAAATATTATTTGAGAATAAAGCTTACGGATTTAAATCTCGTGTCTCTTTGATTATATTGAGAGGAGGTTAATTAAGGTCTGAACACACATATGAGTGGATTGCGGAAATCTAGAGTCAAAAATATTTTTCACCTTCTGGGAGAATAGTCTTGAGAGTAGTTTTCCTTCCTGCCATTCCCATTCAGCCTCACGTAAGTCAAGTTATAATCAAATAAGTTGAGAGAATAACTGCGGTAAGATACCGGGGCAACTGCATACGAATATATATATAATATTCTGACATAGGAAAAATCGACAGGCGTTTTCTGCTGGCACGCTGCTCTCATATTTGAAATATATTTAGAATGCAGATTGCATTAAACAGTGCACAGTTTCCGACTGGAGTTGGCTTAGAAGGAAATCGTATCGCACGTACAATAGTTCCGCTCTCTCTGACTCATGTCGGAACGAAATGTATCTGAATGTTATTTCCAGCTTATCAGTGTCAGTGTCAGTAAGCGGACGACTTAGATTTCCATTTGAAGATGTTTCTTTGAGCAAAATAACTAAAAATATTTTACTCAAGAGAAATCACTACGTTTTCGCTTACTTATAATTAAGTACGATGTGCCTAGCTTATCAGTAAGATAGGAATAGATTTGAATGACCCGCAGAGGCCCATCAATGACTAAAGATTTCTCCTAGTTGGCCCCATGCTTCTATTATGTGTCTAAATGATTTATGAATGTTGAACAGAGTGCATATCTTGCATTTTGACTACTTCCTTATCGGCCTGGACTACTGTTCGGGGAAACTCAATGATAGGACAAACGCGTCCAATTGTACGAACTATTTCTAAGACCATGACAGAAACCAAATGAATGCATTTTAAGGGGGATTAACGCTGAGAAAGGCGATAAACTGATTGGGAAAATTTTCGTTAAATCTTTTAATTATTCCAAATTATTATCGCGCTGTTCGCTGCTAGTGGATACATTTCATACAGTTTAGAGCGCCATTCGGCCATTAGGTCGCTCATACTGATTGTGAGTCCCTCAGCTGCCATGTGCGCTCATATGCCGATTACACGGATATATAAATAAAAAATTCATAAATGCGGGTACGGGTATGTGAGGCAGGAGAGCAACAAACGAGCCAACTTCAAAATGGCTAAAAATACTCATACATACATATATGTACATATGTATGTTAGTACATACATAATTTATCGAATACTAATATTTTGAGATTTAGCCGATTAGAAAGTGGGGGAAGACATCGGAAATATGTACATATATGCCTAAATGTTCATTATATATATACATATCTACATATACATATACAGAAATATTTTGTATATTCCTTTGCTCTACTTTTGAATATTAAAAGTATTTTTTCGAATTAATTTTCGAGCATTGCCTACACATCCGCATCAATGGACCAACACTTTTGTGTATCTGTATCTGTATAAATGTATCTCGCAGCGGCACAAAGATCTTTTAGCCATAATCGCTGCACATTTGTATATATTTCGCACAGAACTAACACATAGAGAGCAGAGCTTTAAGGTAAACAGGGAGAGAAGAGAGACAGAGAGAGAGAGAGAGCTATCACAGAGAGACTCTCAAACGGATAAAAAGAGGGGGAGAGAGTGTGTAGCAGGGAGAGAGAGAGAGACCAAAGTGCGTGAGAGCGCATAAACATTGACAGCGTGCAAATTCTTAGAAAAATTCTCGTATAGCAGGACCAACCGACGCACAAAAGACCCATCCCAGCCCCCTCCCAGTGGGCACCGCTCTCTCTATCCACCCCACCCCTCAACGCTTCACCCACAGGGCCCGAACCAGGACCCTCTGACAGGAGCAGCATCAGGGGGCAGTGGCAGAAGTAGAAACACCAACAACAACGAGAATACTTAAAGCTTCTTTAATTTTTATGTTGTTTTCTCTTCTCTTTGTCGGTGCCTTGAGTGCGTCTGTGTGTGTGTGTGTGTGTCTGTGCGAATATCTGTGTGTGCCTCAGCCATTCTCTTTGATTGCTTTTGTGCGTGTCTCTCTGTGGGTGTGTGTGTGTTGGTGTAACCTTTTGCTGGTGAACATTTTTGCGTGGGAAGTTGCCCAAGGACATGGACTCGGCTCAACTCAACTTGACTCGACTCGACTCGTTGCCTCGCTTTTGCTTTTGCCTCTGCCTCTGCATTTGCCTTGGCTCTTGCTCTGTTTCCTCCCCATCATCTTTTCCATCTTCTTCTTCCTCCTCCTCCTCCTCCTCCGTGTCTTCCACGAGCTTGGCATTTTTCCTGCTCATTTTTCTACTCTCGTTTTTTGTCCAGCTTGCTCTTTTGCTTCTTAGTTATTTATTTATTATTTGTTGTTTGCAAAATTTATTTCAGCCAAGCCAACGAACAAAATGTGCCAAGTACTCTGCGAAATTTCCAACTCAAATTCTGAGGAACCAGAATATATACATATATATGTATGTAGATTTGGTGTAGATGTATATGTGAAATATAAGTGAAATGTAAAGATAGTTACCACAAAGATTTCGCGCTGCTGGTTGACTTTTCTATAGTTTTCAGCAAAGCATTTTCACGGTTCGTTTGGTCACAAAATGACAGGGCTACGGCGGGGTAGCAAAAGTGTCCGCAGTTAAAGCTTTAACCTTGGGAGCGAGACATGGGATTCATTCATACGATTGGGCTGGGCGCTTACCTAAAATACTCGCATATACATACGAATTTGTGAAGATGAATGTAAAAGTGGGTTACCTCTAAAATGAGGATTATTTTATAATAAAAACGTAGCAAACAGAAATGATCGGCGGAAAATTGTTCATATGTACAATGATAATCTAAAATTGAGAAAAAATAGAACCTTGGGCGAATGCTGCACAGCAAAATTTGTAACGCACAGAAGGAACCGTCTCCGACCTCATTAATGATATTGGGAGTATGTACCTACATACATACATACATACATACATACAATGTATGTATATTGTACACATTCTTGGTCAGCGTCTATAGGCGAGTTAATTTGCCTGTTCTTTATGATTAGTCGGAAGCAGAAGCAGCATCTTCGGATTTCTTGTATGTACATTAAGCTGGGCCAAAATTTGGACAAACACACACTCCTTTGTTCTTTGTTAGTAAATAAAACTACACAATTTTTCGTGTAATGTTTAGGCGTTGCCACCACTAAAAGAAAATTAAATTTTTTTGCTTAAATAAAAATTAAAAAAAAAAATGAATTCGTTGGTTTTTTCATATAATATTGAATCTTAGAAATTAGTTCATATTGATAATAAGGTATTTTTATTTTTTTGTTTAGTTTCTGCTAATAAAGTAACGATTGGTGAAAATCAGAAAGTTCAGCTAAGGTTCGAAAAAACTTGTGCAGGTGTTTTTCTGTCGTTGGTACCAATATACATATATTTAATAGATTTACAGCATTATACAATTCATAGAGCCAAGAAAATATTTATTTATTTCTTATCCCAAATTACATACATATACATATATATATATCATATCATATGCCAAATGTTTGTGCATACCTCATAAAGATGTTTTCAATCAGACCACTATATCATACGGCTATAGTTGCTAAAGGTACAAAGTATTGATGGTTGGGTGTGTTGTAGATTTATAGTCTTATAAAATGCTATTTTACTTGGATATATCCTTGGAATTTTTCGTGTAGTATAATAATTATGTATCATATTTTTTATGGTTTTTAATCTCCTTCAAAGCCATTTTCGTATGCACATTTTATGCTTTATTTTACGATTTGTGTCCATGTGCATTCAACAGATTGATATACAATGCCACAGGGAGGGGGATAAATTCCCTTAAGTAAAACTGGTAATTCCTCACTGCCTGGCGAGAGAGTTGTTTGCCTTGCAGTACGAGAGTTCCATTTATTATCGTTTCGTTTCCCTCGTAATGGGGAACTTCAATTCTTACACCAAAGATGCAGCGCTAGCAGTGGCACAGAAATAAAGTAAAATCAAGGAGCCAGCACTTCTGCACTCATTTTCTGTTGCTTGCTTCTCGGCTGTACGGGAAATTATTCGGTGTGTACTTGTTGATGCAGCCCTCGAACAACACTTACTACCCACGGCCCCAGCAACAGCCCCTGTCTCTTTACTCCCTTCCCCGACTTCCATCACTGTCTTTCTCTGTCGCTCTCTCCTTTTCTCTCTGTATACCTCTGCGTGCCAGTGCCTGTGCCTGTGCCCCACTGCAGCTTCTGCAAAAATGCATTGTCGGAAAGTAGGTCGCTGCAGTTAAGCCAGCTCTGTGTGAGTGGCAGTGGCAGTTGCAGTGGCAGGTGGCAGGGCACCCAGTGCAGCTGCAAGGAGAAATACCAGTAGCAGCCATCAAATATTAACCACCAGTTGATCCTGTGCAACATGCTTATATAAGTATATTCCTCTTCCTCTGCCTCGCCCACGCCCTCCTGCAGCCCAATTAACTGGCAGAAGGCTGAGAAATATGTAAAAATTCGGTGCATTTTTTTGTGGCAGCCACTTTATGGTCGAAAGCTTCTAAGCCCAGGTGGGGGGGCGTTGGGCCTAGGGGAGAGTTGGAGATCTAGGGGCGTGGCAAATGCAACTTCAGCTTGCCACTTTTGCCGTCACGCCCAGTTAAATAGCAGCTGCAGCAGCAGCAGCAGCAGGAGTAGCAGCAGCAACAATACAGTTGACCTATTTTTGCGAACGTACGCAGACTTTGAAATTATTTACAGCACCAAAGAGAGAGGCACGCGGAGCGAACGAGCGAGAGAGAGAGAGGTGCCACAGTGCGTGGCATATATGATGCTAAAGCAGGGCGGAGGGGTAATGGGTTTCAATAATAACAGACCGTCGCCTCCTTCCTACTTATTCTGCACCAATTTTGCTTCTTCATAATTTTGCAAGCAGATGCTTGCTGCATGTTGATTGTCAAGCCGTGGCAAGGCCACGCCCTACTAGGCGTACACTATGCCAAACTTTACTGCGCCCAATGCCGTCCGTGTCTCAGACAAAAAATAATTTTAAGAATTCT